ATTCTATGCAGACTTAGGCTTTATAGACTTGTCTTCATATTCTCTAAGTGAGTATCTACTTGAAAATTCCAGTTTTAGAGTGAATTCTAGGTTTCTGTAATAGTTGCCCTGGATCATCTCACTATCTTATAAAGCTAAGTTTCTGGGTATTATTTCAAATGAGATCTCCAAGTGGTGGGTGGACATCTGCAGTCCTGGCAAACTTGTTCAGCTGTGAGCCATTCAAAATCCCTGATGAGCCGGTAACCTGGCACCCTCTTGCCTGGCACCCTTGTGCTTACAGAACACAGGCACCCACCAGAAAATAAACAAATCTAGCATTAGAAAGGGTGTGATTTAAAACAATTACCTCCCTTTTTTTTAAGTAAAAAAGTATTACTGAAAGAAATATGTTACATTTACATAGGAAATTTATATTGCCCAATAAATGAAGCACTACTAACCTTTCAACCAAGAACATTAGAATTTCTAATTCACTCAATAGTCGTTTTTCTAACAGTAAGCAAAATGAACTTCCTGCCCTCCTGGATCGGGTATCACAGTGGGGGAGACAGAAAATAAGCAAACAAAAGAATAAATGTATATAGCACATGAAGTTGTGCAAAGCGAGAAAAGTTCGTCAGATCAAAGGGGCTTGAGAGTGCTGGGGTTTGCACGGGGCTTGCTGTTTCATAAGAGTGGAGAGAGAAGCCCTCAGTGACTCAATAGCCTTAAAATGTGTACTGTTTAGAAAAGAACGATATTTTCTGTAATATTTCAGGAAAGGGTTAAAATCAAACCTTAAAATTAGATAAAAATTGTCAAAACTTAAAGAAATAGAGATTGCCAAGAGGAGTAGGCAAGCTAAGGGTGTTCTTATCAGAAGAAACTGCACGTGCCAAAGCACCCATCCTCATACAGAAAACAGCCAGGGGTAGGGCTGTGGCTGGGTGATTCTCTGCAAGAGGAAGTGCTGGCATGCGAATCTGCATGCATTAAGGTGGACAGGAATGGCTTGGAACAGCACAAGGAGTTTGAAATCAAACCCAGGCTNATTCTATGCAGACTTAGGCTTTATAGACTTGTCTTCATATTCTCTAAGTGAGTATCTACTTAAAAATTCCAGTTTTAGAGTGAATTCTAGGTTTCTGTAATAGTTGCCCTGGATCATCTCACTATCTTATAAAGCTAAGTTTCTGGGTATTGTTTCAAATGAGATCTCCAAGTGGTGGGTGGACATCTGCAGTCCTGGCAAACTTGTTCAGCTGTGTGCCATTCAAAATCCCTGATGAGCCGGTAACCTGGCACCCTCTTGCCTGGCACCCTTGTGCTTGCAGAACACAGGCACCCACCAGAAAATAAGCTTTTACAAATCTAGCATTAGAAAGGATGTGATTAAAAACAATTACCCCCTTTTTTTAATAAGAAAGTAGTACTGAAAGAAATATGTTACATTTACACAGGAAATTTATATTGCCCAATAAATGAAGCACTACTAACCTTTCAACCAAGAACATTAGAGTTTCTAATTCATTCAATGGTCGTTTTTCTAACAGTAAGCAAAATGAACTTCCTGCCCTCCTGGATCGGGTATCACAGTGGGGGAGACAGAAAATAAGCAAACAAAAGAATAAATGTATATAGCACATGAAGTTGTGCAAAGCGCTATGGAGAAAAGTTCATCAGATCAAAGGGGCTCGAGAGTGCTGGGGTTTGCACGGGACTTGCTGTGTCATAAGAGTGGAGAGAGAAACCCTCAGTGACTCAATAGCCTTAAAATGTGTACTGTTTAGAAAAGAACGATATTTTCTGTAATATTTCAGGAAAGGATTAAAATCAAACCTTAAAATTAGATAAAAATTGTCAAAACTTAAAGAAATAGAGATTGCCAAGAAGAGTAGGCAAGCTAAGGGTGTTCTGATCAGAAGACACAGCACGTGCCAAAGCACCCATCCTCATACAGAAAACAGCCAGGGGTAGGGCTGTGGCTGGGTGATTCTCTGCAAGAGGAAGTGCTGTCATGCGAATCTGCAGGCATTAAGGTGGACAGGAATGGCTTGGAACAGCACAAGGAGTTTGAAATCAAACCCAGGCTTGCTGCAACCATAATGTAAATGGGACAGAAGGATGGCAAAAGATGTTTCATGCAATAATTTGTTTAGAGATCAGAGCTGTTTTATATATTAATTTAATTGATTAAACGTTATTCTAGTCTTTCTTTTCTATTACTTTCTAGAAGATGTTCCATGTAATAAAGTGTAAACACAATAATTAAAAAAATAGTGCTGACAATGGTAAAAGAATGGACACTCAATTTCTGACTTAAATTAGTACAATTTAGTACAATTACTAAATTAGTACAATTAAACAATATGAGAGGATGTCCGCTAAGGTGCGTAATTGCAGAGTATTCGATACGTAAACAGCTGTAGAATCACAAAGAGATAAGAGGCCTGGAGCAGCTGCAGGAGCCTTGCAGAGTGGGAAGCGTGAGCAAAGGAATGATGGGGGTTATCATTTTAGGCCAGAGGACAAGGGGTGACCGGGGAAGGAAGGGTGGCAAATTCCTGGAGCTGTAAGAATCTGGGCTTGATTTCGGAGTGAACAGAGAGCGACGGGAATAATCAGAGTACGTCAGGGTGAACCTGGACATCCTCAGAGAAGGGCTGATTTGATGTGTGCAGCAGCTGTGGGGAAACGGGGCAAAGGAGGAGGGAGGCTCGGGGGTCTAGGGCAGGTGAACGGAACAGGGGGCGTGCAGGGGACTTGCGCATGCGTGCTGTGGCAGGCAGCGCGAGCGTGCATTTGCTGACCGGTGCTGCCTGTGGACCGGGGGTCTAGGGAAGCGACTTGCTCCAAGTCACACGGCAGATAAGTGACGTGGGCCTTGGACTCTGGTGCGAAGAACCCAGGGCCTGTCCTCTCAGCAACAGCAGCCAGGGTCCATGTTAGGCATGAGATGTTAGGCATGATAAGTTCGTTCAAAAGGACAATACAGGAAATGAGCTTCCTTCTTAAACTTTCTCCTGTCCGGTCTATTTATATTTTTGTATTTAAAACATTAACAAAAAAATTGAAATCCCATCCATATAAAACACCAAGCGGCCTCAAGTCTCATACCACATGGCAACTACACCCACAGCTTCAGTACCATTTGTTTGTGTGTCTTTAAGTGTTTTAAGTGTTTCAGTTAAGAATTTCATACTTATTGTTCAGTGGTTGAATAACATTTTATTGATTTGATGTACCACAATATAATAAACCCTAAGTTTTTCAGGTCTGGGGCTATTATAGAATGTATTACAATAAATAGTTTCTTGCAAATATATTTTTGCTTCAAGAGAAGAAAGGACTTACAAGATCAAGTGGTGTGGACGTCTTTTTGCCTCTTGGGCACATTGCGATAGAGCTGTCTAAAAGGTTTGTGCTAATTTACAAGTCAAACAACAATAAACAAGGAAACCGATCTCCCTATATAGTCTCGACTGTGCTGGGTATTCTCTGTCATCTTTAGTACGTGTCAATGGATAACTCAAAGTCGCTGCAGTTTTCATTTTTAAAAAGTCCTAGCAAAGATGGACTTATTTTCATGTGTTTGTTCATTCACTATGTTTGCCCTTGTGTAGATTTTTTGCTTTCAGGCCATTAAAGTCTTGATATTTTCCCATCTAATTTCTTTTTCTCTAGTGTAGTTCTATGTGAACTCAAAGAGCAGCAACTAGAATTAAAATTTTGCCTCTAGCTGTGTTTATTATTTGGGCTTTCCCGCACCCTTTTCCAGAAAGACTTAAAAGGAATTACTGATGCCTTTGTTTATAAACCTCACCTTACTCTGAAATAATTGGTGTAGATCAAACGAAGGAGAGGGATAACTGCAGAGTGATCAGCTGATAACCATTTCTCCTTTCATTTCCCCAACATAGTAGCTTTCACATTAGAGAGATCACACACAAGGTTTATTTTCCCCTGATAGGCAGCCAGCTCCGTTTTGGTGGGAAGGTGGGAGGAGAAAGCCTTATCTTCAGAGTAGGATGGAAATCAATGAAAAGAGCTGTTTGTTCTAAGGAATGGAGTGGAATATAGTAGGGAAGGGAGGCGGAGAAAAGATATTTGTTTTTCCTTAAGTGGTTATAATTAAAGCCTTCCACCCAATTGCTCTGTGAACCAGAAAAAGGTATTTGTCAAATTGTGTGTGTTTTTAAGCACATCACAAAAGAGCCTTGAATCCGTCTTCATAGAAAAACTTGCTCTCTAGCGGCACCTCGTGGAAAATGAGTCGTACTGCAACCTGGATATTCAGTTTTATGATTGAGCTGAATTGCTTGTGGTAGTTGGCGCGCTTCTAACCCCCTTACCCACTTCCCCTCCCAAAAAAAGCAAGGAATTTGTGAAGGATTGTGTCAGCTATTGCATTTCTGTATAACACTCGCTGAACAGTAGGCTATATCTCCATGCACATATTCTAAAATTGTGTGTCAACCCAAGTAGCTGTATTGATTCTTAAAGTTGCATCATTAAAGCAGTCAGTGGAATATTTAAGGTCACTCATTCAAGAAAGCACTGATTGAGGGCTTTACATTTTTATTTTCCAGGTGGAAACAAGTTAACCAATCAACATTTTCGTCTGAATTGGGCATGGATCTCCTTTGAAAAGGAATATTACCTGATCAATGAGGACTCCAAATTTCTAGATGTTGTTCTTAAACGCAGAGGTTACTTGGGAGAAACTTCTTTTATAAGTAAGTTTAATTTCTATTTCTGTCTCAAAATCCCATTTTTCTAGCACAGGTTTATAATTTTTTTCTACAGTGATTAAAATAGTTTGGTTCACTGATCTAGTTTTAAAGCTTAGGGAAATGTTGACATTTAAAGGATTTTTTTTTTTTTTTTACTGCTAAAGAAATATAACAGATTTGTGTGAAGGTACATACCTGTTCAAGCCTTCTACTTAAATATGTTTTTTCTCTGATATATATTTTTTAAAAACTTTAAAAATTGGCAGTAATCACTCACAAGTTAAAAAATAAAAGCAAATCTCAATAGATCTTAGAATAGGCTTGGGCAAATC